TCAGATTGACACAGTGAATTCGGTAAGGAAGTGCAAAATTCAGCAAGAGTGCGGCAAGTGATTCTTACATCAAACGCACGAGTAAAAGGTTAAAAGTTTATATTCGTCCAAGATGTATTGTGAAATTTCGAATAACTGTTTTTTTGGATAGTGGAAATTCACTGACTAACTCACTTACCTAGAGTCATCGACCAGAGATGAGGACACCTGGCAGCTAATTCGTGGAGCACATTCGGCGTTATTAGGTCAGTGGCCAGCTCTACCACTCGCAGATCCGTAAAACGCAAGCCAATTAGGTGAAGCAGATAATCCTGATTGGTCACCTGCAACTATTATCATTCTGCTTTCAGCTAGATGAACTTGCTGCACAGTGTTGTCCAGTTCTTCAGGATCACCTGTAAACCGCCATAGGATGGTCGAAACGAGACAAGCTGCCATAGTGATGGACTTTGAGCTATATCCTTCCAACGTTTGCAGACTTGGCCAACGATGAGGACCTGATATGGCGATAGATAGGAAAAGATTTCTTGCAGTACTTTGTCGGGTAACTTCTCAATTGTCTGAAATAAATTTCTTGTGCACTCTCACATGACGCAACGTTTCAAAAATGCGGTAAAAAGTTTTTACACCGGTGATCAGCGAAGCCAACAGTTGGAAGCAGGCTTCCCCTTTGTCCAATCAATCAATCATTATTGATCGGTTTTCTCTTTTGTACTGCTGTTCCTGACAATTAGGAAATGTGCAGCTCTTGCCAGTGAATTACATAATTTCAGGTACCTAAGTCACTCTTTTAAACGTCCACAAACGTACTACTGAATTAAATGAACCAGGCAGCATAGAACAACCGAGGATCCACTGAGAGGATCTTTTTTCGAGATTTGGCTTGGATTACTGTACAGCTTTGAAAGGAAGCTGCCAACTCAGTTTTTTCCCGTATTTTTTGATCAAAATTTAACACAATAAGTAGAAATTTGGCAAGTCACTCATTTTTCGATTGCAAACTGTAACCTGTGTTTAATGAAGTTGAGTTTGTTACTTTAATTACTCTTTACTCAAAATGCTACAGCAAATATAAGTGTGATCATTGCTCAATTCAACGTTCTGGAATGGAGCAGGCATCATCAATTATGGTACCTCCGACAGTTTTCTATTAGTAGCACCTAAATATTGCAAACACAAATGAATAATTTTTATAATGAGTAATAATGAATAGCCAATTTAAATGAACAATTTATTTGAATAATTCCTAGAAAGTGAGAAAATCCTTTAAATACTACTGTTTAATGTGAATTTCGAAACTTAAGTAAGTGGTAGCAGTAACCATGTGACAACAGGCCAGAAATTAGAAAAATAGACGAGCAGTTAAATGCAAATATGCATTTTATAGCAATGCATGAGAATTATACCACAAAAAATTCAACTTCGTGTCATGTCCTACCTAGAATAGTTCTAGCATGATACAGAATTTGTTTGCTGAGATTAGGAATCGAAATCCACTAAAATCAAAATCCTTTTAGTAAACAATCACTGAAAATATAAATAATTTAGACACAACTATGCACTCCTCTCGGGATTTTTCAGATGCACTAGATGCTAGTATTTTTTAAACTTTCTACTAGCTCATTTTTTGACGATCGTATTCAACAGATGTGAAAAGCAGCAGATTAGCGAGCTTGATTCATTGGCGATCAGCGATTCACTCAATTTTTATTTGTCCAACAGTACGAATCCATCGACACGATGAACAAGCTTGCTGCAATTCGCTTCGTTGGCAAACCGATACTTGTTCCAAGCAGAGTGTCAGGATTATCTTATCCTTGCTTCTAAGTAGTCTGGGATGCGGAAGTCATGTCGGATGCTAGTCGCTGTCACTCGGACCAGCTGTGAGTGCCTTCGCCTCTCGCAAAAAGCGAAATTTTGGAAGAAAGCGAGGGGCAGAATAATTTGACTTTCGAACACGAAACTACCAATATTTCGAATTCCAGTTATTTGCAAGAAATAGTAAAAAAAGTTTGAAACTGGCCCCGTAAGACTGCGATCATGAAATCTTAACCCAGGCTGTAACGCACAAGGCGGGCTGGTGCGATTACGCGTTTTTGCACTTTTCGTGCGGTAGCAAGGTCGCAAGGAATTAAAGTAGTTAACCCTGTGAAATACTGGCCCTCGAAGCTCGGGAATTTAATTGTGCAGCCATGTGGTATGCCAGTCGTAGGTGTCGATTTCAGTGACCCGGCAAATGGAAAGTTGAAAAACTGCTCCGCGAAAAAGGCCGCACTAGAAAAGTTAAATTTGAAATGTTATAGTCGCACATGGGTAGGGAACATCCCCTTGAAATTAAAGCCTTCAGCTTTTCTCGTTTCCGAGTTAGCAGCTTCCCCATCAAAATTATCACGTGTTCGTACGTGAGTACCGGACGGTTTTAAGAAGCTGAATTTGAAATCTTTTGGTCATACATGAGTAGAAAACATTCCCCGAAAACTTCAGCTTTCCAGCTTTTCCCATTCCCGGGTTGGCGATTTTCGCGCCAAAACTTCCACGTGCCCGTACGTGGGCCCCGAGTGCTTCTAAACACCTGATTTTGCTTGTATATGAATAGGGAACATTGCCATAAAATTTCAGCTTTCTAGCTTTTTCCATTCCCGGGCCAGTAATTTTTGCACCAAAATTTCCACGTACCTATACGCGAGCTCCGGGCGGTTCTAAGGAGCTGAGTTTGAAAAGCTTTGGTTATGCGTGAGTAGGGAATATCCCTCCAAAGTTTCAACTTTCTAGCTTTTCTCATTCTCAAATTATGAATTTTCCTGCCATAATTTTCACTTTCCCGTACTTAAGTGCCGGGTAGTTCCGGGCAGTTGAATTTGAAATCTTTTTGTCATATGCGAGTAGGGAACATTACCCTACGGTTTCAGCTTTCAAGCTTTTCTCGTTCCCGAGTTAGCAATTTTCTCGCCAAAACTTTCACGTGCTCGTACGCGGAGCCCAGACGCGCTTGAGAGTTGGTATCGCGATCCTGGGGTGGCATTTGGCTGGGGAACATACTGGCAAAATTTCAGCTTCAAAGCTTGCGCGGTTGGCGAGTTGAAATAGCCGGACGGACGAGGATACACACACAAACATACACACACACA